CTCGGATCGAACTACCAGTTTTCAGCGACTTTACCGCTCGGCTGCTGGTGGCCCCCCCAGATTAAAGGAAATGTCTGAATATTAATACGCGATAGAAGTTAAGAAGATTAAATAAAATATTCACTGAAACGAGAAACAAGTTCGATACAGGCAAAGCAAGAAAAAAGGTCATGATTTGGCTATTGGTTGTGAAAAGGAGCATTCGTATAAAACAGAGATGTTATTTTGAGAAACCATGAAAACGTGTCATTAAATAACTTTTATTCAAAATGTGCAATGAAAAATGAAGGTTGTACAAGACAAAATTTATACCTCTTTTAAAGAAACCAAAGCATGAAAATGTGTGAAATATACGGAATAATTGAATGAATGTATTAAATGTATGGATTATGTATGTATTAAATTTATGGATATCCGAGATGAACTGGGAGGTACATTGCATATACTACGGGTTTGTTATTTGTATAATGCCTAAGAAATGTATAAAATATTAATTATATCTACATTGTCGGCCATTTTTTGTTATTCTATAAAATGCGTAGGCATTCTATAAAATGCATTCTACAGAATGCTGGCTTTTATACGTTGTTGGTAGCATATGCATCCAATGTACAAACGTATGCTGAATAGCTTTTATATTTGATTAATAATTTTCTATACACTGCATTATTTCCTCGCATTCTAGTAAATCAAGGATGTCAAACTCGCGGCCCGCCGGCCGCATGCGGCCCACAACAAATAATTTTGCGGCCCGGCCAATATATCGGCAAATAATAATATATAATAATAAAATAACATATCGACGAAGAAAAAAATGAAATGTTTACGTCTAAGTAATTAACGATAATTTATTCAGTGTTGCTAAATTACTCACAGCGAGCTGACACACACACTACTTAAATTACAAATGCGTGTGAGTAGCTTGCGTTCAGCTATCTTCGGCTTTTGGGGAACACGTGCACTCAGAACTTGTACGTGTCCCCCGATAGCCGAATGTGGCCGAACTCATGGTCTCAGGTTTCCAATCATAGTTTTGTACGATATATTGGTGCATGCATGTGCATGCACTTAGCTTTATTATTAATTATTACTTAATTCATATTGTTACGGATTTCCTAGTTATTTATTTATTTAGTTTTTTTATTTAGAATTGTACTTAGATTTGCTTCATGTTGCCTTAGCAACGCAGACGATTTTTGGAAAGACAGCTGCGTTGGAAGGTTAAAAATAGAACAGCGCGTGCATTTAATACCTAATAAATAAATATCTCGTAATTACCATCCACAAAAATCCAGATATTTATAGATGTTTCCAGTACATTCGAGAAATTAATTATAAAGCTTATAAAAGCCGAGAACAAACAACTCATCTCAGTAGTAGCTGTAGTTCTAGCGAACTGTTTGTTTACTTAATGCTGTGATTGATTTGTAGCGATTTCGCTGTGAGATAGAATTAGTTTCTCTGTTTTGAATTGATTTTTGCTAAACGTTTGACATTTTGTGATATTGTTAGAATATTTTTGAAGAAATATTTCAGCATTTTGATTTATGTCTTGTGGAAAGAATAAATTTTTGTTAACTTTTTAACGTTAACAGTGTTTATTCCAGCCCTTTGTATTCAGTATGTCTATATCAAAACCAAGTGGTAGTAAAATTAAACAAAAAATCGCTGACGAACATAGAATATTCCAAGTAAAATGGGAATTAGAATATTTTTGCTTTGAAATAAAAGATAAAATAATCTGCTTGATATGTAATAATACTATTAATGTACCAAAGTTATATAATATTAAACGTCATTACGAACAACACAAATCGAAATATAACAATTACGAAGGATTAATGAGAGAAGAAAAGTTGAAAGAGCTCAAGTTAGGAGTGAAAAAGCAACAGTCCATGTTTAGTAAAGAAGCGGCGGTACATGCAAGCTACGTCTTGTCCGAGTTGATAGCTAAACATTCGAAGCCTTTTACTGACGGTGATATCATCAAGGAATGCCTAATGAAAGCTGGAGAAATTGTTTTTCCTGGAAATGTGAAGGCTTTTCAATCAATTTCATTGTTTCGAAATACAGTTGCGGAAAGAGTTACTGATTTAGCCGCGAATTTAAGTGATCAGATCAAAGCAAAATCATCTAGTTTCGAAAGTTTCTCCATTGTCTGTGACGAGAGCACGGACATTAGTGGCAAAGCTCAATTAGCAGTGTTTCTTCGTTCTTGTCACAAGAATTTTAACATTTTTGAGGAATTACTGGAGCTAAATACCGATGCCTGGTACTACCACAGGAAAAGATATATTTACTTGTGTTTTTGGACTTCTGCAGAAATAAAATCTACCTTTGGCAAAATTAAATTCTGTAGCTACAGATGGCGCTCCATCAATGACCGGGAAAAACAAGGGCTTCGTATCATTACTAAGAAAAAAACTTAGTGAAATTCACGGTTCAAACATTCATCATATGCATTGTATTATACATCAAGAAGTTCTATGCACGAAAGTAATAAATATGGAGAATGTTTTGTCACATATAAAAAAAAGTTATAAATTTTATAAGATCTTGAGGTTTAAATCAGTGTCAATTCATTGCTTTCTTAAGTGAGTTAGATAGTGAATATTCGGGTTTGCCCTACTATACCGAGGTATGTTGGTTATCTTGCTCCAAGATACTCAAACAATTCTGGGATTTGAAAGAAGAAATATGTCAGTTTTAAAAACGAAAAATGAAGACGTAAGTTTGTTTTACGATCCAATATGGATACAAGATTTATCTTTCTTCGTTGATATAACCAAACACTTAACCGATTTAAATTTATCGTTACAAGAAAAAGATCATATCATTACGAACATTTTTGACATAATTCAAGCATTCAAATGTCAACTAGTTCTTTGGAAAAAACAACTTAAAAATGAAGATTTGACGCTCTTCCCGACGTGCAGCATGAATAAATCAAGTTTAGATGATACTTGTTCGCATCCAAAAATACGCGGAAAAAATTGCAAATTTAAAAACTGAATTTGAAACGAGGTTTAATGATTTTAGTACCCTCGAAGACAAATTTTTTTTTTTTTTGTTTTCTTCGATTTTCTCAATAAGTATTGACTCAGTACCCAGCCATATGCAAATGGAGGTGATCGAGATTCAATGCAACTGAAATTTGAAAGCAAAATGCATTGAAGTGAGCGTGCCTGAATTTTACAAATATTTACCAGCCAGGTTTGAAAATTCTCGAAAATTCGCATATGAAATTATTTCCATGTTTGGTAGCACTTATCGGTGCGAGCAGTTATTTTCAGTCATGAAAGGTAATAAGTCTCCTATTATAAACCGTATTAATGATGCTCACCTTGGGTCAGCGTTGAAAGTTATCACTGTAAACAAAATTTCTCCCGAAATAGGAAAGATAATAGAGGAGAAGAGATGTCAAATATCAGGACGTAAACATTAAATTTTTCTTGTTCTTTTCTATATATATATATATATATATATGTGTGTGTGTGTGTGTGTGTTTATTATTGTATTATTCGAAACGTTTCTATGAATATTGTTTTTTTTTTTTTTTGGCCCGCCTAAAGTTAAACCTTGTTTGTTTGGCCCAAGTGTACCTATGAGTTTGACATCCCTGTAGTAAATGAAACAAAATAGAAAATTCGTAACTTTAATCCTTTATACGAGGGTTGCTATTTATATTTCTGGTCTAATAACGAAAAAGGCTAATGCTTATGGTCGAAATTGTTTTTATTGGTTTGAAAAATATTTACTATGAAGATCAAAACACTTTTGCATGCGTTTGAACTAATTATCGAAGACTTTTCCCACTCCGATTTAGGTAACTCCAGAACGTGCGTTTTCAATGCATCAACTGCTTCTTCGCGTGTCGCAAATTGCCACGTAATTTGTTTTGATGTGCGGAAATGAAAATAGTCATTGGGCGCCAAATCGGGGCTTTACGACGGATGACGCATCACTTCGATGTTTTGGATGGTTAAAAATTCCTTTGTTTGAGCCGATGTGAGAGAGCTTGAACTGTCATGATGAAGAATGTTTGGCCTCTTTTGCTTTTTTCAAATTTCTCGGATGATTCCTGGCAAACAAGTGGTCGTGTACCATTAGGAATATATCAACGTGCCTTGTTCTAACGCAACTGTCGCCACGTGAGCGGTAATGCAGAAGAAATAGACAACCATTTGCTTTGATGTACTTCTTCCGTGAAAGCATTTGTTGGATTTGTCTCGTCTTGTAAGATCCACACAGTCGGCTGCTGTTTCGTTTCGGGCTCATATGCATAGATCCATGACTCATCACCTTTGTAGATGTTATACACACCCTTTTATACACACTGAATGTATTTTTCTAACATTTCCCTGCAGCAATCGACACCAGCCTTCTTTTGAGCTTTTGTCAGATTATGCGGAATCCAACGCGAACAAATCTTTCTTACGCCCAAATATTTCCTGTAATATATTATTGATGCTTGCCATACTATTACCCAAAGATGACTTCATCTCACGGTATCTCACATGACGATCTTGCTTTATCAGTTAATGCACAGCATTGATGGTTTCTGGCGCAACAACCGATTTTGGACGACCTCCACGGAATTCGTTCTGGAGCGAATGTCGACCACGATTGAATTCGTTATACCCGTTTTTCACAGTACTTTTAGGATGCTGTTCATCGCTGTATGAAGAATTAAGTTCATTGAAGCACTCTTGTTAATCCACTTCAAAAGTTTTGAAAAATAATTGTATGATAATGTACACCAGTCAATTTCAATTTTTGCCAGAGATGAATTTTTCAATTTACTGTAAACTACAAAAATCAGGCAAAAATGGCAAAATGTTTTGAAGAAGTTACAGTTAAAAAAAATCAAACTTTCGATTCGAATTGTCTGCGGTAGCCTAGCAACACTTACTATTGCCAAGACCAGAAATAGAATTAAGCAACCTTCATACGAACAAACAATATAAGAGTTTTAAAAATGCAGTATGAATGGCACTTACGACAATCTGCCTTTCTTTTCATTTTGGAGGAACTGCCAGACGGTGATGTCTATGATCATGAGAGGACTTTCGATGAGATGGACAACACCATTCTTGACAGGGATGTTTGGTTTCAGTATCTTTGCCATCACCACTCCTTTCTTGTGCCTGTAGTCACTGTGGGTGGTGCTACTCTGAGCATATACTGGAAGTAAAAGGTGCGGATTGAATATAGATATAGACAGCAGACAACAGTTATTTACCAAAAGGTGAAGCAGGTGTTGTCTCCATATACAACCTATACAGAAACACTACCACCCCACAAAGTCCTAGCTGATCTCTAGAGCCCGCAAAGAATAAACCCTTGATCCATCCTACACTGCCAGTCCTGAAATAGCCAGCGACTCATTTGGAATCCTATCCACGTGCTTTGTTGGTACCTTGATATGTTATCGCGTACATATATATTTAACATTATTACATATGATATTGTTACATTATTAGCTGGTCTCAAATTTGCTTGCATTAATTTATATATTGAAATCTAACGCGAAATGTCAGGAGCATAAGTAAAACAAAAGCCTATATTCCGACCTTTTTGAAGATCTTTGAAAGCACACATAGATTTGCATTTTTACAATGTGAAACTTGTAACTCAAAAACGTACATTGATTTTTTTTAAATTAATGGGAATTATTTAATCGCACAGATAAGTACATTAGAAAGAAAGGAATATTATGGTGCTCGAAAGGGGTGCGAAATACAAAAAAAATAGTAACCTGCTAGCAGAAAAAGCTTATTTTTAGGTACTATGGCGGATAATTTGGCAAATCTTGCGATGAATTGGAGATTCTTTGGTATAGTCATATAAAATACTATCACATTTACCTGTACACTCTTTCTCATAGTACAACTCGTTCGCATGTCCAGCTACCAAATCGGAAGATCGCCGTTCGAATCCCACTCAGCTTATTTCTTATGTTTCTTGTTCTAAATGATATCGTTGATTGATTTAATGAAAACAGCAGCTCTTCATTCCAGGTATTAATATAAAATTGTCAAAAATCATTAACCCTAATATTTCAGAACTCAAGGATAAATTAGCAAACAAAAGAACTCGGTAAAATACATCCTGTAAAGTAGATAATACACAATAATTTAATTAAAATTTAGAAAGCTGCTGGCAAGATACAAGGAAAATTAGTTTTTCTAAGGTAGGGAAGGACTTAGTATTTCTTAAGTCGCACTTTTCAGAACATGAAACTCGTGACTGATAGTCGGACTAGAATGGTAGATATAAATGAGTCTTTATATATATATATATATATATATATTTTGGGGGGGACTCGGCGATTCTGGATTCGGTTTTGACTTCTGGATCAGAGGAATTATCATGGAGATCTAATCATGAAAAATAGTTCTGATAATCTTTTTTTTTACCTAGATGCAAATTAAATTGTGGATTTGTTGCCACATTATCGATATACAATTAAAATTATTTTTAAGTCCTTGACATTTTTCTAGAATGCGTATTTTGAATACCTTACACCGCAGTACAAAAGAAAACTTCTACGTAGCTTTTCTTTATGCAGTCATGCTAATAGTTAATTGGCTATACTTTAACAGAAAATCAATACTGATTAAGAATTTCTAATTATTAGTAAGATACTTCTTGACGAAGGATTTGGTAACTTAAAAGCTAAAATTCTTTGCAGTTTGTAATGAACTTTAGACCAGCGGTCGCCAACCAGTGATTCACGGACCACTATTGCTCCGTGAAAACGTTTTGATGGTCAGCACAAAAATTGGGATATTATTTATATTTTTATGAAGATTCAGTTTAAAAAATAACGAGTAACAAAGCCTATTATGGAATATGGATTATACCTTTTTTTAAATTTTAGCTACTACATTTAGCGAAATTCCTTCTTAATTTAGCGACCTTTTAGCTACTTTAGCAGGTCTATCTAGCGACATTTGAAAGTGAGAGTAGGCATCCATGGATATGCTGCTGTTATCGATGATAGCACGAACTAGAATTATCTTTCCTTTTAAATTATAAACATATGCTATTGCGGTCGTTAATAACACAGTTTCTTTCCGTGTCAATAGGCTCCGTAATGGATTTTTATAAGAATCATTTGCATTCTTGTTTATAATTGCATCACTGGAAGTTTCCATTTTTGCTTTGTCTAACTGTTGATCGATTGCGCCACTGGTGAGTAAGCGATGATTTTTAATTATGTTTACAATAATTAAAAATTGGAGGCATAACACTGTCAGTTTATTGATATTGCTTTGCGTTTGCCGGTTTGTTCTTGCTTTTCATGAAGTTCCTTTTCAGTGATATGGAAATGTGAAGCTTCCTAAACAAGAAGGTATGATTTTTGTACATTTTTTTATGTAATTTTTCAATGTGAACAAAATATGTGTAGTTTGCTGATTATTATTGCATAATTGCATTTACCTATTTTTAGTTCATATTAGTGGTCCGCCAAATATAAAATTATACATGTAGTAGACGTGACGTTCTAAGGACTGACGACTGCTGCTCTACACAGTATTCCATAACCCTAGATGGCAATCCGGCTGATCCGAGGTACTGGGCATTCGCGAGTAGAACGGCAATGTGTTCGACGTTGAGCCTCTGAGAGAAAGAGATTGGAGCTATAGTGTGGAGATTTTCGTCAGCCGAGGTCAGGTATGACAAATGCCATCATGTCACCAACTAGGAAATCTATTAAAGGTTCTGAAGGCTTTAATTGAAATTTATGTCTGTCTCTTCATGTGTTGCGATAGTGATATAAATAAAAGACTGATGCATGACTAAAGCTACTTTTTCCTCGCGTCTGGGATATTCACGACGGCTCAAGTTCTTTGGGCAGTCATGCTAGTTAGTTAATTGGCTATACTTATGCAGAAAACCAATATATACTAAAATATTTGTGCTTGTTAGTGAGATGCGTCTTACAGAAGAATTTTGTAACGTAAAGCTAGAACTGTATGCAGCTTTTCTTTGTGCCATCACATGTTAATTGACTATAATTTCCAGAAAATCAATATTGGTTATAAAAAAAATTGTAATTATTTGCATGATACTTCTTAAAAGGGTTTTAGGGTACCATTTGAAATAGGAACCCGTGTATCTTGCTTTTTAACCAAAAACGTTAGTTTGTATGTTGTACATTCAAACAAGATGTATTCATATATTTAGATCAGATTTCCTTTGTAAATATTAAAAATTTAATAATTAACTCAAATGCTAGAACAATTTATTATTAATGTGCAAAGTGTACAAACTTTGATTAATGTAATAAATCAAGGGCAAGTGAATTGGGCTAATTATAATGTTTGGATGACTATGTTTCAATCATTTGATGGCACACAACTGTTCGAATTTCTTCTCACAAAGCTTCTTGAAAATATTGAATTGCTGCAGTTTCAGATAAGCTTTCACGTTTCTGTATACTGCCTGAAACTAATTGCACAAAAAATGCATTTCGAACAAGTAATCTGCGAGTGCACTCGACGCATGTTCATTTATGGAAATTTTTTATATTAAATTCATATGAATATCGCCTCTGGAAGCAGCACTTTACAGGTCGTAAAAGATATGTGATAGGGAATAAATCTAGTAATGTATTCAGACTTATACTCACACGTGTATGAATTCCCAATAGCATCGGATTGATTGATGATAGAAAGCTCGACCTGAATGTCATCTCCATATGCCTCACTCTGGTACTTATCCAGGGTAGCCAATCGGGTAAACAGCACATTCCTTGGAATCACGTGACCTCGAATAACCTAGAAGACACAGATTGGTTACAAAATTATACACTTTGGTTTCTAATTCTTATGAACTACTTGTTAATTGAAATTATAATATTAACTCAGGTATATAAACGCTTAGCAAGCCTAAAAGGTTCTAAGTACGCCATGAATAGAGCAAAGAAAGTAACAAAATATTGCGATAATTGTAAGGGTACTTTATTTAGTCTGCTTGAAAATATTAATAATTATTTTAATTATATTTAATTTATAAGTTACATTTTAAGTTATTTATTTTATATTGAATGTTTGATTATAATGTTGAAATGTTAATATATACTGTTGAGTAATTAAAATAAAATTTTGTAATACGTATTTTTTTATATACAAGCGTGACCCATCGGTGAGTCATGCCAGCCCGCGGAACAATCAAGCATGACCCACCGCTGCACGGAACAAACAAGTATGACCCAACGGTGGGTCTGGCCGGCGTCAACGTATTAACCAGCACGTTACCTTTTAAAGTCGGTGTTTTGATAAAAAAAAAAAAGGTAGGCAGTCTAATTAGGCCTAGAGGAGTACAGAAGTAAAATTTCGTTTTAATTATGTGGATGTGCCCAAAGTGGGCACATTGATTGAATAGAGCTTCGAAACGAGGGCTGAAACGAGCATTGTTGTCAATGAACTGACCGATGAGATGCGGAGAAACGAAGAATACAGACTCTAAGTTGTCCTAGGTTATCGGTGAGCCCGGTCTGGCCACACCTAGGGTTCGCCGTTTGATTTTAGGCAAGATTTCAAGGTAAAAATTTAAAACTAATGTAGAATAAGGAGATTAGCATACAGCCAAAAAATAACATAGAAATTTCTTTTCAAACAATTCCTTTTATACCCTAAAAATATCTGGAGGATTTCTTTGAAAAATGAGGGTCTTAAAAAACTAAACATGGCTAAAATATATCAATTTGTGTTAAGCTGCCATCTACTATAAATAAAGAAGGTTCAGAGTAACCTATAGTAACCTATAAATCCTTTCTCATTCAATTTTTCTGTGCGTACAGAAGGAAAGTTTTAGGTGTCAAGACCGGACACACTGTGCCGCAAAGGGTTAAACATGCTGCCATAAAATCCACTTATAGTCGTGTTGTAAAACACAGCCATGACTAACTTCGCTATAAACTATTATAAAAAAGAAATGGCTTTGGTTTACTTTTTTTGTTCCATTTGATTTATATCTAAGAGATATAGTCTACTTCTCTGTATTTATACCCACGAGGAGTAATAATTTCGTGAAATATGTAAGCTCTCTCTTTCATCCAAGTGTAAGTTTAGAAGCACTGCAAATAATGTTTAGTTTCAGGAGACGCTTTGAAACAGAAGTTGAAGTTGCCCTAAATATTTTAAAAAGAGGATAGCTGCAATGATAATCTCAGAATCAAAGCAATACTTTTAAATTATCTCCTATAACAAAACATAAATTTGAAATTCGCAATTCACTTTCATAATTCACTTGACCCAAACCTATAAGTTGAGTACCTTTGAATGATTATCAATGAAAAACTGAAAAGTTTTCACCAAATTCTTTCTAGCATGTTTTGTGAAGTGTTTTATGCTATCTGAGGTTATCTGGTACACTTTATTTACGTACACATGAAATTTCCTAAGTTCGGGAAATACAGCTGCCAGTTCACGTTTCAGAACGGTAAAATGATTATCCCTCAAACATGTTATGTATAAAATACATGCTATCGTGCTGTGTGGGACCTATAAACGTAAGTTTTTTCCGTAAACAGATTCTGCAAGCAAAAAGCACTTTCTGAAACTACCTCTCAATGGCCATTACTGATATTGCTCGAATATTAAACGACAGTGATATGCGGTATGATTACGCATAGAGCAACGCTTCATGCACACTTAACATCAAAATAGGAGCAATTATGGGTTGCTATAGAGAGCAGTTTTTCATCCTAAGGCTCCAAATATTTTCTATTTCAAAACATTCATGTGTTTTTGTCCATATTTAAAAAGGCGGTGGAAAAAATGATCAGAAAATTGCCTTGTTTATCATGTCTAGTAAATGTCTTTGAAAAACTTCGAATATGATCTATATAAAAATGAGGTCAAATTTTTCGACCAAAACGATTTTCTTTCTCACTTTTCCTAGAGTTTATTATTTAGAGGAAAACATGAATCTAACAGCGATTTAATTATAGATTACAGGGATTTAAAGTATAGAAACGTCTATCAAAGTGAAGCAACAACCTGTGTTAGGCGTAGATTTTTAGCATAGAAAATCTCGATTTGGAGGGCGAACAAAGTCCCTCTTCATTAGGAGCAAAGAAATCTGCAACTGGATTATTTGCTCCTGAACTTTGTTCGCCCTCGAAATCGATAGCGTTTCTATGCTAAAAATCTACGCCTAACGCAGGTTGTTGTTTCACTTTTATGATTTATTTCAGGGGTGTTTCATTTTTGTCTAAAAACGTCTGTGTTATGGAAGTTAAGTATAAAATTAAAGTAAACCGTTTGGATCTGCGATAAGTAAAGTCTATCTTAATAAAACGTGAAGAAATTGTATCCCAGATATAAGATAAACTTTTAAGAGTTTATACTTTAAATTTTTCCATAGATTTGAGGTGCCTTTTCACTGCACTACGACTCATCCTAAAAGCATTAAAGAGTTTCTTTACGGTAACTGATATTTCCTCGTTAATGATCACAACCTTATTGGCATCCCTTTTATCATTTATATTTTATACCATTGCTTTGGATTTTCCATAGTTTCAGGATGTGGAAAGTGAATATAAGCAGGTTTTGCCATGGAGGTAGGAAGTAAGCATTTGGTGGTAATTTCATTTTTCAGTTAACGCAAAGTGATTATTTTTCAGTTATATAAAAATAAAATGATGAGTTTAAAATGAACAACTAAAACACATGACTAAAATAAGTCTCTCCTCTAAAAATTTAAAAAAAAAAGTACATGTTACAATAATATATGGATGACAAAAAGTGCATTTTATTTGAAACATTTTGGTGTTTGGAACATAAAATAAAAGTATCGAACACTCTATCAAGGGTATCGAAAGACGTATACAATTTTAAAGGTACCGTAAAGTATTTTTCATTTTTTACGCATAACATTTTTGGTGAAATCTATATTTTTGTACTCCAACAGCTTAGAATTTTACAAAATTAATTCAAAATCAGAATCGCTGTTGCAAGTTATCGAAAAATAACTAAGATGTGATTTTTGCATAAATGTCACTGAACTATAAAAATTTCTATTAACCATCCCACAATGAATGTTTCTTTTATGCGGGAGTACCTCGTTTTTCGATTTGTATGGAACTGTCGTGTGTGGAAATACTATCAAAGAGCTGTCAAGGAAGCGCTTGGATGTAAACAAAAAAAAAAAAAAAAAAAAAAAAAAAGCACTTCATCTGGAGACCAAAGCCTGGTAATACTGCTTCACTCGTAGTGGTTTGGCCCCTCTTTTTCTTCTTACCGCCATGGGTTTTCTTTAGGGAAGGGTTAGTGGGCTTTAATGGAATATTTCAATTCAGTCATGTTTTAGACCATTTTCTCAAGTAATAGTAAAATTCACTGTTCCGCATCATCTTTCTTGGTACATTTTTGGTATACCATTATAGCATGTGTTTCCAATTAACGGGTTTCTTTTCCTATACCAAAGATCCCAGCTTTTCGTCTAGCCCTTTAGGGGTCTTCCTTACCGTAAGAGAATGTTCCCAAAGTGGGAGTCTGAACTTCACTTCCCAGAAGTTTTTATTGACTCTTTAAAGAGCAGAAAAAATAAGGAGAACGGAATATTTTGAAGTATATGGCAATGAAGAGATGCCTGAGGTGTTTAACATGGAATATAATTCCAAAGTTTTGAATAAAACCGTAAAAGACAACCCGTCTGGTGTGTCTTCTATCTCGGAGTAACGTATTGCGGAGTAGCATATCTGTGAAGATTAACATAGATCGACCAACAAAGCGTACGTTAGAATTTTGCATATGTTTATGAAAGTGCGCGTTAGAAATTTGTTCTTAAAAATTAAGAACAAAAGTATATCAAAAAGGAGAAATGAACAAATTTTAGAGAGATGCTTTCTGTTTTGCTAAAACTTGCCTATGAATTTTCTTCTGTTGATGATTATATTTTTTCGATTGGATTGCCCGTGAAGATTTTCACTTTTACAAAAAATTTTTCACTTTTATCTCCCCACTTTAATTACTATCCAGTGTACCCCAGCTCTTTCAGAATTGTAATTTTAGGTGCTATTTGAATTTTCGTAGAATAAATCTGGGATTCCGAGGTGTTAGGTTGGAATGCTTTCCTGACTCTAATGCATTTTCAACAGTTCCTCCACATACAATTCCCATCATTTTGTTGCATCAGAGATACTTCACCGCTTCATATGAACGATTTTTTCCATATTTGGAATACATTTACCATCTTTAGAAAGAGGAATTATTAAATAAGTAAGAGAACTTGCCATTAACGGTTAGCGTCTTGCCATGTTTATTTCAGAAATAAAATTTTCAAATCCAAACGATTATTCTTGTAATGTTTTTTTTTTTTTTTCATTTAAGACAAAATATCTGAAAACGAAACTTATTCTACGAAAAACAATTAAAAACGTTTAGATTATTATTCGTGTTACCGAGGAAAACATTTTGAACAAATTATTTTTATCAAATGGAATATTCTGATGATATAAAGCAGGGTTTCTTAAACTTTTTTCAGTCGCGACCCCTTTTTATCACTGAGATTTTTTCGCGATCCCCAGGACCTCCATAATATTTAGAAAAATTTTGTGGGACCCCATAAGTATTGCGCAAATCCGACAAAGCGTGAGTGAAACAGTCCATTTTTTCACTTGTTACTGTAATATATTATTTGCAGTTTTAGGTCATTAACTTTAATTTCTAATTTTAAAACAGAGAACAATGAGAACATTTTAAATAAGTAACTGACGAAATGAGAGCGTCACGTGCAAAGCAAGATAATCGAACTTTTATATTATAAAAAG